ATTTGTTGTTATAGCGGGATCATAAATGCAACATCTGTAAAAATTTCAACATGAGGTTCATGAGATATAGCCAGACGACAGACGGACAGACAGACAGCGGGGTTTTAGGGTCCCGTTTTACTCTTTTAAAGTCAAACTCAAAGTCAAAATTTCTTTATTCAACATAGGTTTATTTTAAGCTCTTATTGAACGTCAAAAACTATTCTACGGTTCACTAAACTAGAACTGCAAGAGAAGAACCGGCAAGAAACTTTGCGGTCATATTATATATTTTTTTTTTTTTTTTTTAATACATTACTTAAGTATACAAATAATTATTTAACTACAAAAGATTTAAGTATAAAATTAGCAGGAGCCAGGGGACTTGCAAGTGCAGAGCAAGAGTCATTTCCACACATCCTTTGGGTACGGAGCCCCTGAAAACAGCAGATTGCGACTGGCCTAATTTCCGTTTTAATCTTCCAAGGGTGTTTATCTGGTTCCAGTTTTATTTATATCGTAGCCTAAGAACGTAGCGAGCAATTATCTTAATTTATTTCTGCTTATTCACGTTAACAATATAAGACATCGAAATTATTTTTTTTTATATTTAGTATTTGCAAAAATTTTATTTTTTAATTGAGAAAAAAAAATCGTTTAGTAAGAACCTATATTAAAATACACAACTGTTTTTGTGTCTATGAATTGAAAGTGCAAAAGTCGAAGTATTTTCTAACTTCTATGTTGATCAACATATAAACGTTCGTCAACATCATATATTTCCGTATAATAGGTGAAACTAACGACAAGTTGTTTTCCTCATGAGCTAAGATCGTCATTGAATACGTATTACAGAAGATTGCGGCAAACGTTGTCTGCTTTTATACACGTTATATTGGCTTCAAAAGTAATCTTGTATCTTGTATTAACTGATGTTTATGCTTTCAGACCCGAGACTATTAAAGCTTCATCTGACGCAGAACCGGTGGGCTAGCCAGAACCCACGGGTTTGGGCCCTCCGCTGTGGGTAGGGCCGCGCATGTGCTCATGCGTGAGTTTAACTATGGTGTGTCATCTAAGGGCCATCGAGGTCGCGGTTCGGACCGAAACCCCGATGGCCGTCAACTGTGCAATTAGCTAATCGGTGGCTGGGAGCGGTGAGAACCGCCCCGAACGCAGGTGTACCTTGTGTACGCGTTGTGTTGGTCTTGCCGTGCTAGTATTTGTGTGTTAGAACAAGTATTTGTGTGACCCACAGACAATTGTTCAAGATCTGGATGCTTGTTTCCCAAAGTGGGTTGACGTCAAGCAGGCGGCTGGTCGTAAAAACCTAGCCAAATCATGATGATGATGACTTGGATTCAAAGGACCATAACAGAGCTTAGTAACGTAACTGTTAATATAATGTACAAAAAATAAGTAAGAGCAGTGTCCAATGATTTCAAACTAAGTTACGGCTTATATCATCTGATCAGAGTACACGAATATTGCAAAAGAGCGCAGATATTTAGTACGGCATACTAACCTATGTAAAGTCGTGTAACTAAATGTAATAGCAACAAATAATATCATAAAATCAAATATTGTTTAACGCTTGTTCGGTAATCCAATCTGAAGTGCTTCTAAATACCAATCAATTACGTCATACTAATTGCCATGAATTTAAAGTTGTATCTCGTATCATATCATATATTCGTTTAGTTAATGAAAACATTTTCATTTGTAATCCATTATCATTGTCATGTTTTTAATCAAGTATTCAATGATTGAAAATTAGATTTTGAACATTTTAAATCCAGATTTGATCACTATGATTTCATTATGACAGAGCGGTAAATCAAACAAACTTATATTCCTAATAGAATTAACTAGTGATACAGTATTCGAGAAGCATTAAGTTTGCCGAGTTAAGAAAAAAAAAATGAAAAAAAACGAGAATTACGTGCTTCTGTGTGCTTTCATTGATAAAGTACAGAAAACAGGTAGAACGAAAATTGTTTTACTAATAGCTTATCTATCATATCAGAAGCTTGCCGATATCAAGCAAGCAGAGCCACCTGAAGAAAATTATTGTAGAAAATAATTCACATACTACATTTAAGTGCTAAAGAGCACTTCTAAATAAACTAAAAATAGAAAGCGACCCAGGATTGATCCCTGGGGAACACTTTGTACTACTTGGATACAGTTACCACTTACCATTTTTGATTACTTGTACGTATGAATGCCATAACATAGTGTCAAGTATAGTATTTGAAACTATTCTAAGGAATCTCTAGGCTCACATTATTTGTCTATTTCAGTACTAAGCATCTTGTAACATAGAAATAAAAAAATAAAAAAATTATAATAATTTATCAAATTATACGAGTATACCTGTTGAACGATTATTTTCGTTTGATGTTTCACCTTTTTTATAACCAATACTTAAAGCGTTAAAAATCAGTAAAAACACGATTATACATAACTTAGTCTTCGCTAATAAGATGATTTACTAATATGTATTAGGATTGACGTACCTATAAATAACCAATGAAGGTTTTCTTCTAACACGTGTGCTCTATACTCCTACACACAGGCTTTTTTATTTCTAATTACTTGCCTAGCTTTATGCTATGCTATGCTAATTATCAACACAAATAGTTTGTTTGATAATTAGCATAACTAAATAAAATCAATACGTTCTATACCATCGTATGGGATAATAATACAATTTTTTAAGAAGATTTACCAATGTAAAAGCTCAAATCGTATTTTTCATCACTTGCTTAGTGGCGAAGGAAAACATCACTAAGAAACCTGCATATTTTCGAAATAATAAAAAAAATATTTCGACGGATTAGAGAAGGCCTTTGCCAGACAATGGGACATAATTATGCATATAGGCTGCTACTTTACTTTAAGTTCAAACTAATGAAACTCAATATTTGATACAATGATTACAATAAACCGCTTTTAATCATCTCTTCTTCGACGTAAATCGTATAACGATGAAAATTTTTAATTTGTTTGCGTAAAATATGTTAAACTAACATTATTAGTGCCCTTATGTACAGTAGTGCATACTTTTAGGTTTGTGCATATAAAATTTCGTATATTCTTTAAATATGAACGTTCGCGTTTTTGTTTTCGTTGTCTTTTTGTGTTTTGAATAAACCATTTTCAACTTGCGAACTTTTAAAAAGACCTCCCATTATTATTTACGGTCAAATTCTTTTCCCACCTTCCCTTGGGAAAAAGTCTGATTCATTTTCACAGAGGTTTTGGGTCTTCCACTTGGTTCAATTAAGAAAAATGTAAAAATCACCAGACTGAGCTTTTTCAAACAGTTTTCAATCTTTCTCAGTGTTCTCGTCAAAATCCTGCTTACACTCATTTAATAAAATTACACAAATATCGGATAAATATACCGGTGCAAGATTCAAAGCAAATAACAAAAAAAAACTTCTTTGCTTTAATGTTGCTCTGGCAATGGAAAGAACGACTATGAAACCGGCTATGCCAAAAACAATAGGAAATCTGGGAGACAAACGTTCCCATTTAAATAATGAATGAATCTTTTATGAAATGTTGGATGTCATAAAAGATAGCGTAAAGTAACAACCTAGAGATATCCTAGTGTTGGGCGAAGGCCTTCTCTGTACAGAGGGCAACAACATTTCATTTGCACAAAAATAATGTAATAATAATTCAGTTTAGGACGACCCCCCACTAGATGGAGTGAGAATCTGTGCAAATGTGCGGGAAGTCGATGGATGCAGGTGGCTCAGGATCGTACTTCATGGCAGTCTATGGGGGAGGCCTATGTTCAACAGTGGACTCAAACAGGCTGAAATGATGATGATGATGATGAATGTAATAAATCATCGGACTGTTCTCGCACAGTAAAAACCAAACGAATCTGAAACGAGCCTTCGCACTGGTCACAACTCCGAACCGTCATTGCAAAATGTCAACTTAATGTATAATAACAGCGCACGTTTATGTCATTTCCATTAGCACTTAACACAATTGCGCACTTCGAAACTAGCGTATATACGATAGAAAATTAAAACAATCGACCGCCCGTTTTTTGCCAAGGCGACCGGTGGTAGTTCACTTAATGGACGTAATTTCTAATCATAAAATTAATCCGTGCAATTCTTATAAAGGCGCTTGGCCCCAAATAAAAGCGTTTTGGGCATTGCGCGATTTGTCCTTCGGAACACGTGTCAAATGGTGATCAGATATGATTCGTGAGAGTTGGAAATTTGAGTGAGGAGAAACATTAATGATCTAGACTTTAAAATGAATTTAGGAAAGTGAAAGGTCAGGGAAAAAGTCTTATCCGTTTTTATCTGTGAAGTTGTAGTAAAATCTCTGTGGTTGTACTGTTTCTATGTAGCTGGTTTTAGTACCATTATAAGTAAACATATGATATTTTTAAAAATAAAAAGTAAAAAACGATTTTTTGTCATTTTTCAAATGTTTTCTGTCTCCCAAAAGGGGCGAATCTAACGAAAAACTGATAAAGTACATACAATACAAAAGGCAAACTTAATGCTGATAAGTTTGCCTTTTGTTTGGCCTTATTTTGGGATGTAAACAATAAATTTTTAAATACATAAAAAAAAATACATTATGAAGTTTTATTATAAAAAGATAAATGGCGCCCGCAAGCCGCGAACACAATTCGGCGCGTTTATAAATCTAATGCAGCTTGATTAAGAGTAGTACAAAGTCAGTTCAAGCATTTTGAGCCGGGAATTTTGATGTCAAACATAAGCACTGACGGGTAAAGTCGATACCACATCTAAAAAATATAGCAAGATCGGCATATTAGAAGTGACGATGATATAATTATCTGAATATATAACCAGTAGCGTATTCTAAGGGATTATTATCCCTAATTAAGGTCCCTTGGTCATTTCTTTCAACTGATGGTTCAAACAATGTAATTAAATCTACAATGAGTTCACCTTACAAAACCGATATCAGGGGCTATTAGCCGAGTTACCCATCATTTGGAATGAGCGAAAAAAATGTATAAACACAAGCCGTGCACGCACACACTCGCGGAGCAAGCTCAGCGCGGGCGAAAGTATGCAACGTTGAATCTGCGAAACGAAACTGGCGGTATAAAACTGGCGGGCGACGTGGGACACGACACACTCCGTAAGAGCGTTCGCTGAACACCAAACAAAGCGATCATGAGGCTATTGGTCAGTATATTATAATATAGAAATCGAAATAACAATAAAAATATTATATAAAATACAAGCCAGGAAAAGATATCAAAAATGTTAATTAAATTTCTTAAGGTCAATTCGACACTTGTAACTCTAAGCACACATAAATTGTGATTATCATAACTACAATTTCTCTTTTATTTTATTTTTTGCAGCGATCTTCCTTAATCTTGGCCGTGGCTATAAGCCTGGCCACGGCAGAAGAGAAGGCAGAGAAGGATGCTAAGGCTGAACCAAAACCTGTTGAGGAAACCAAGAAGCAGGACAAGAGGGGTCTTTCGGACTTTGGATATGGCGGTGGCGACCATGGCGGTTTCGGTGGTGATTTCGGAGGATTTGCTGGCGGCCATGACTTCGGCGGCGAGGAGCACAGCTTCGGTAGTGAACACAGCTTTGGCGGTGGACAAAGCTTCGGTGGAGAACACAGCTTTGGAGGTGACGGTGGTGGTTTTGGAGGAGACCACGGTCATGAAGTACATCATGAGAAAACAATCACGATCGTCAAGAAAGTGGCAGTGCCGTACCCCGTAGAGAAGCACGTCCCCGTGCCAGTGGAAAAACGTGTACCAGTGCCCGTCAAAGTACCGGTCCCCCATCCTTACCCGGTTGTGAAGACTGTCCACTTTCCCGTAAAGGAGTACATCAAGGTGCCCGAATACATCAAGAAGCCGTACCCGGTCACGAAACATGTGCCTGTGCCCGTTGAAGTGCACGTCGACAGGCCCGTGCCCGTCAAGGTCTACGAAAACGTCCCCTACCCGGTGGAGAAGCACGTCCCCGTACCAGTCAAAGTACACGTGCCACAGCCGTACCCAGTAGAGAAGACGGTCCATGTGCCCGTAAAGGTCCCTGTCAAGGTGCCAGTGCCGTACCCAGTTGAAAAAGTCATCCACTACCCAGTGAAGGTGCACGTCGATCGCCCCGTGCCTGTACATGTCGATAAACCCGTGCCAGTGCATGTCGAAAAGCCTGTTCCCTACCCAGTCGAGAAGGAAGTGCCGTACCCAGTAAAGGTGCACGTTGACAACCCTATCCCGGTTCATGTTGATAAACCAGTGCCCTACGAAGTCAAAGTTCCAGTGCCAGCTCCTTACCCCGTGGAGAAGCTTGTGCCGTACCCAGTGGAGAAGAATGTTCCGATTCCCGTGCACATTCCTGTTGACAGGCCCGTACCTGTTCACATTGAGAAGCATGTGCCATACCCAGTCGAAAAGCACGTGCCTTATCCAGTAAAGGTACCGGTGCCAATTATTCATCACGAGGAAAAGCACGAATTCTCCCACGGAGGCCACGAAAGCTTTTCACAAGGGAGTTCGGAAGGTTTCGAAGGCCATTTCGAAGGCTCCGAAGGTGGGCATGAGTTCCATCACTAAGGACTGATCTCTTTTAGTTTTTTTTTATATTTTATTTGTTTCCTAGCTTTAAATGTTTTATTGTGTTTAGTTCTTTGCCAAGTATTTGTTAATTTTTTTGCGACTGAAATGAGCGTCTGTTTAATGAAGGATGTAAATATTACCCGAAAGTATTAAATACAATATGTTTGAATGTTTCTTTACGTTTTTTGTTTATTAACTATCCACATTTATTATTTTTAATTACAATTTCTGCTTTATTGCCTCCCTCAACGTAGAAACGCATGAGTATAACTAACAACAAACTCTTTATGATACTTTATCATCATTCGGTAAGAAAATAATTGCAATGATCTCTATTAGAAGAACCAATTCAGATTCTTCTCGGGCTAAAAATCGATTCATAAAATGACCTCATAGATTAATTAATCTAATTAACTTTGCAGATGCTCAGTTTTATACAGTAAGTCAACCAAAGATATCTGACATGAATCACCTAGTTATTTAATTTCTAATTATGTACACATGTATATGGATATTGAGTAACATTACTCTAATGTCTATTACATAAACAATATGTAAATCTTATGTAAGATTTACAGAGTGAAGATCAACTAGTTATAAAATATCGCTGTACCCGTTTATATAATTGATAGAATAATTAAAATTTCCAACCTGGAAGTTGAATAACATTACGAAAACTTTTAATAAGAGCAATATTCAGTATTCGATAATATGTTATGCGATACAAAATTTAATACGTAATTATCATTCATCTTTAGAAAGCTCCTTAAACCTTACATGGTCTGCGTAACAATAAGATGTCACTTATTATAAAAACTGAACTCACCTTATGTATGGTATGTTCGCGGGAATGTGGTACTTGGAACCGGGATCAAAGTCCAGCTCGGACCGGAGCACTGGTGGCTTCACTCCTTGGTACTGCTCCCTGGATGATAAGTAGAGTCATGTCAGTTTGCTGTCGCGTCTAAAATGGGTCAAACTTTTTAATTATTACATGCATACCATTTAAAAACGTTGAAGTCATTTAATACATAATTATGAACAATTTAGCAAATCGTACAAAAATGCTACTTAGATTTAAAGAAACATTAAGCTATCTGTGGCACACTTTAGTTTATGTATCAACTGCTAAATTTTTCAAGGTAATAAAATTTACAAACCATCAGAGCACATGGGTTTTATAAAAGTAATGAAACCCATTTGAAAAGCTGTTAAACAAATTTCTCTCATTGAATATTTTTAAATAAATTTATTTTTCATTTATACTCTGGCGTAACATCCCCTTATTTCAAAACTCAGTCTTATCAAAGACTAATGTGGCGAGAAGTTAAATGACATTTTCGTTCAATTATTCATACATGCTTAATGTACTAAACCAAAGTTAATCCACTATTTCATTAAGTTACCTATATGATACTTTCGCCCAATACCTACATTATTTATGAACTAAATCAAAGCTAATCCACTATTCCATTACCAAAATCAGCATAATGTTAATGCCAGGAGTAAACTGTCTACTGTAAATCGGGTCAGTTTGTCAACACACGCAGAAATGCACTTACGTAAAACAAATTGTTACATGTAACATCTGTAACAAATGGCAATAACAAAATTGTGGTTTGGGGCCGCGGAGGGCTACGTCATAACCGAGAAAAAAATATGTATTAATTCTGCAATTCTAAGCTCGTACTTAGAACTTAATTAATGGCCTCTTCTTATGACACCGGTGCATTTTACGAGACGACGGTGACGTCAACTGATGAATGACTCAATTGCTAAATGCTATTTTCTATAAATAATACCGTTTGCACAAAATTATCATTTTGCAATGCTCTTAGATGTACACTTTTTAGTTTCAAATCAAAAATTAAGTAATCCGTTAGCATTTACTTAGTTTTTTTCAAGTTAAGACGAAAAGGGCTACAGTGACTACGTGTTTTCAATAATGACCTTTTCTTTTTACTATTATTACAGTTTATTGAAATTTCGAATAGTAATATTCGATTTCGGAACCACTTATAAAGAGAACTCAACTTTCACCTGCTATTGTTTTACTTGAAACAGTTACGATTGAGTCGAGTTAAATGTTATTAGGTACTTCAAAGCTTTGTATTGCCATTACAAAATAAATTATTAAAATACTATCGTATTGCATAGCACTAATCTTACTGCACTTGTTTAAATCGCGTTCGGCAAGAGTTGCCTCACCGGCCCTATCTGAAGCGTCCGGAATATTATAAGAAACGCAAATTAAGCAACATCAAGGCAGCTAATGTTCGCTGACCTAGAATATCCACCATGCTGCCGCACTCATTTCTCAGTCCACCGAAGCGTGTGTATTATGACACGTTGGTTGATTTACCAAACGTATGTGAGTCCGTGGAGACAAACAGCATACACAAGATCAGTAATGGCTCGTCTATTTGTCGAAATAGGGTAGCAATAATCGATGATGAAGGTTTTTGATGTAAACACAGAAAATACAATATGCAAATCGCGAGAATTAAATATAATATTAGACATCTTAATAAGGTATCAGAGAAATACAATAATAGATAAAATTAACCACAAAGTCGAATATAATGAACGAACACTTCCTCCATGATATTTGAGACATGAAATGTTCTTAGTGCGTTTTTGTATCTCAGTTAAACACAATGATATCTCAATAAATATACATAAGTCTATGTAAACGTAAACGTTACCCAGTGGTACACAAAATAAATGAGAATTGGGATGGTAAAAAATAATACAATAATGTTATTAAAAGGAGACACATATCATCCAGTAAAAAATAAAAGAGAAGAAAAATAAAAACAAAACAATTCAATCGTCGAAAATTAATTTTGTGCACGACGAGATCGTTGGAATTCCATGAAGCAAATACCTTATTGGCCCTGGAGGCTAGATAAGCATTAGGCTAATCACTATTTATCATTAATTTCAACAATATTTGAGTTCTACTTGAACCAATACCGAAGCATCTTTAATTTATTATCCCCCGCGTAACAAAAGTTTGTGGATATTTATTACGTAAAATATAACGTCGATCAGTTTTGGCAAAATATGTTTAATCATTAATATTATTTTTAAACGGTGCCGGAGTATTTGTGTTTGCAAAGGGATATTAAATTGTAGTTAATGCCAATCCATATTCTAAAACTTATATTCCTCACACAATCCTATAACTAGTTTAGTTCTAAAATTCAACTTTGTTAAGCGAATCAGCGTCAGATCAAACTGTAGATTCCAAAGGCGGAGTGGATAAATGTTAGAAATATTTTCTTAACCATTTTGCAGAACGTCTAACGTAGTTGCCCTACACAAAACATGTTACGTGTATCGTTAATGAACGTTATCTAATAATCCGGTGGTAAGAATTATAGACGAACTACATAAATGGTACCAGGTCCTATAAAAGTCGCCGGCATCAAATATTTCCACGAAGCCGGTATTTACGGATGTGAACGGAGTCAGGAAAGTTCCGAGCGTGAAGAAAATAGGCCTGTGAATTCAATTCAGTTACGCAATGTCTTACACTTATACCGGTCGATGTAAACTAAAAAAATTGCTTCTATAATTATACTCATGCACGCATTAATTTTTTCCACATGGTATGATTGCGTTAAAAAGTTTAATATCTTTTAATTCAAAGTCTCAAACACATTTCTATATTTAAAACATATTTGAATAGGAAAGGATTCAAGAGACGTGAGGCAACTTCTCTTATGTTTAACTAACTCGGGTAAAGATCGTACTTTGTGGTCACTTTGTAACTATTCACTAAATCCAAAGTATTACACGTCTGTTGCTACAGCATCATACTCCAATTGTGTACGTATAAGTTTGAACTTCAGCAAAAAAAGAAACGCTTTAATTTTCGCCACGGGCACTAATGAATTCAAATCACTAGCCGATGACCCTTTAATATTTTTTTTATGTGAGAAGGTGGCAAACGTGCTGACGGTTCACCTGACCTGCCCATTCGTGCAACAGAGATGACTATACCGTAACCCTATCACATAAAGTTAACAAAACTGACCAATAATAAACTCTGAACAATTGAATACTTTATTCTTAATTTGTATTAATTTCATTGAAAACAATAAGCATTAGGCGCTTGCCTCAGAACATCTTACACATTATAAATAGGAATAACTTAAACTAGATTCATGTGAACAACAAACCTGAGCCTCCACCAATGGCAGTTGTATTGTTCCTTCCTGACGTCACCGGTGAAGACGTCCCATCGCCACCTGTCCATCACCAGTGCGAAGGGCAAGAAGGCCAGTTTGTCCATCGCCTGGGTGAACAGGTAGTTGATGTCATGGGCCGTGTCGTCGATGGACTTCTGCACGAGGCCAAGGGTCTGAAGGTGGCGGGGGGAGGCCACTGACAGAGCGACGGCCTCGCCTATCGCCTCGTGGAAACCTGTGAAGGAAATTACGTTTACAAGTTGTCTTTAACCCTAACAGGGTTAAGAATTGGTTGCACACTCACCACCTGCCACCCTGACAGGGATCAATTTAACCAAAGTCTATTTTATTTATAACAAAGTATATTTTATTTTAGTTACTCTTTCACGCAAATACTACTGAAGGGATTTTAATGAAACTTTACAATAATATAGCTTATACATCAAAATAACACATAGGCTATAACTTTATACATATTTTATGTATATCTGTTTTTCTGTCTAAATTTTACGCCTTCGGCCAATTCTACGCAGACGTAGTCGCGGGCAGCAGCTCGTACCTAATATTCGTGATAGCTCAGTGACCGGGCGTTTGCCTTTAATTCATCATGCTCGAGAGTTCGATCCCTGGTGCCAGCACCGATGAAATCGTTAATTTCAAGTGCTAAATTATCACGTGCGTATCAGCGGTGAAGGAAAACATCGTGAGGAGACCGAATTCGAAATAATATCAAAAAAAATATTTTGAAGATTTGTGAAGTCCGCCAATCCGCAGTGGGGCCGCATGGCGGACTATGCCCTGACACCCTCTGTAAAGAGGAGGCCTTTGCCCAGCAGTGGGACATGTATAGGCTGTTATTTTACTTTACTTTATAAAGTTTACGCGAGATGACGCGAAGTTACTCTAGATACGTCTCATTCGGCAGGTCTTAATCCGATCGAACATGGAGACACGGCCGAGAGAAAGCGGCCAGACACGCGGAAGTGATCCAGCGTTCGATTGATAAACTCGAGCGAGCGATGCCGGAAACCGGTGTAGCCCGTCCATGCTGCTTCCTGAAACGCGGTACGCTAAAAATTCGCAATGGAGCCTAAAGGGAAACTGCAAACTACTGCGTAAAGACTTGCTCAGTACGCGCCATCTTCATAATACAGAAACCGTGAATATATAGACAGCTTTGCGGCTATGTTTAACCCTTATAATACGAATTGATGGAGCATTTTCTTAATATTTCTGAGTCGTACTACGACTTGCTTCATGGTTTAGTACTTGGTAAATCAGCATTTCAAATTGCACGTAGACACCTTAAAAATTTATATTAAAATTATGCAAGAAACGATAAGTAACTTATTAGTTCAAGGACTAGAAGTGAAGCTTTACTAGCTAGCTTTTTTAGGTTATTGAAGTGTTATATATTTGACAGAGTATTTCTTGGTTCAAAACTCGTGTCAAGAAAGTTACGTAAAACGTTTCATCCGCCTTATATCTTCCTGAAATCGTTGGCATCCTGATCTCAAAAATTCTGTATCGATATTTCACAGATTTTTTAGTAAGGATTACTTTATTAGATACTGTTTTTACAAGAAAATCTGTGAGAATTTATCCAAAACCATAGGTTACAATTCTTATAATACCGTTCCCTCTATCTTTGTATTGCAGGTATGGCATAAACTACTTTTGATAATTAGTACCATGGCCTTTGTTTGCAAATTGATATTTTGTTCGATCTCTAGCCAAAACAAGTTAAACTTTATCTTAATTTTGTGAAATGAAGGCGAAGATCTATTCAGTGACATACTCTGTACTTTGTTTTACCCGCTTTAATATTATATAAATCCATTGCATAAACGTGTCCTAATTATAAGCTTTTGATTACCTGAATATCAATAACTAAATAAATAATAAGAAGATAATACAACTTAGGCTAAGACGACAGCACCCATAAAAGGTTCTTAACTAACTAAGTCTAAATTAACGTAGGTTAACATTTCAACAGTTTAACCAATGTTCCAATATTAATCTCGTAATATATTAACTTTCGCAGTAAAAGTGTTACATGTTATTATTTTAATATCTTTAGGATTTCATTTCAATCCAGTACTATAATATAACACTTTCATATTTCCAAATTCAATTGGGTCGCTAAACAAAAACAATGGAAGAAGACTGTAACCGTAGACAACACAAGATTGTAGTCGCAAGCCACCGAATGGGCTTAGCTAAACTTGACCCCGTTGTCTAGCCGAGCGGAGCAGCGCTCGGAAAAAAAGTACTACTCCTTTACACCGATATTAGAGCGCTGGATACGACTCGAGCGCAATCACAATTCAAAGAAAGAGGTAATTTTAGATGTGTGTGAATATTTCATTGGTTCTTCGCTGAGCTCTTACGTTTGGAATGAACTTAGATTAAAATCTATATAAATAAAATGGCAAAGGTCTGTTGTTGTGTGCGCAGAAATATGTATTTTTTTAATTAAATTACTAAATTAAGTACTAATTTCATAAATTTACTTAAAGTACGTGTATTTTTAAGTGTGTTTTCTTGCCGTAGAGAAATGAGGCAAGCGATGTAGTTGTTAATATAATAAACAATGTAGATGAAGTCGTGGCTATCAGCTAGTAAACAGTATACTCTATTGCTTTTCAAGTTTATATAACATAAGCATGAGTTAATTAATTTGCTCACTTATAGTTAAAGTATCATTAATTTATATTAGGTTCTAATTCTCTTATTTTTTTTTCTTTTTTTTATGTGAAAAGTTGCCAAACGAGCCGATTGTTTACCTGATACCGCCACCCATGGACATCTGCCACACCCGAGAGTTACAGATGTGTTAACAACCATTTGAAAATTGGGCTCCGGCTACCTCATTCACCAGACGAGACGCAGAAGTATTTGTCATACTTCCACTTTAGGCTGATCTTCTGTGAGGTCGTGGTACTAACCCGGACGGGCCTGCCCATTCGTGCAACAGCCGAGGCTGCTGAATGGCCCTACCACCGTACATGAAACTTGAATGTCTTTATCCTCAAAATATTATACGATATAAATAAAATAACAAGTTTTCAGTGATAATACAAGCTATCAAAATAATTAGTTCACGAATTGTTGCAAGCCAAAATACTATATTATAGATATATTGAAACTTTTGTGAGTCATTATTAACGTAATAATGAAGGTCCTCCGATGATTCCGAAACTAGTTGATACAGACACCGGTTTACGTTACATTACGTTAACAACCGAAATATGAAGGTTTAACTTAAATTGTGAACATAAAATTTTCATGACGAGAGATTTTATAAGACTATATATTTAGAATTTTCATGATGAGATGACTTAATTAATTTTATATGACTTAATTGACACAGTCATCTCAATTAAATCCTCTTCTATAATATTATGAATATTATTCATTACTAATCTTGTACTTTTTTAAACGGTTAAAACATTATATTGTATCAAAATTGTTCTTTTTCATATGTCTGTATAATAAAAACCGTTTCCTAATCAAAGTGCGGAAAAAAACTGTCACTTCCATTATTCTGTATCTCTACGGTATATACTCGCGACCGGGATGCGCGTACGTTACGCAACGCAGTATTGTAATCGTTCCGTATTGATTTCCTTAAATTTCGTACGCTGCACACGACGCGGCGATATGCGACATTTGATGCTGAATGTAACGCTACGGTCAATACATTGCATAACGTTCTATACACTCGTTACGGACAGCGAAATTGTGTCGATATTTACACATTTATAAACTGTTTGTTATTTGGCATTCTATGTGCATCTTTAGGCTATAGATTTTATAAGAGTAGATCTATAATAACTGACTCGCTAAAATTTAGAGGTAGGTAGCCTGTTTATATTTTATCTTTTATGTATTCAATTGTATCCAATTCTTGTAAGCTTGTTGTAATAGAAAAGATAAATGGGTTTTAAAAATCATTTTAAATTCGAAATATTTTCTCTTTAACCGATACGGAATATGAATGTGCATACTAACTAAATTAAAGTAACTCTTTGGGGTTAAAAGACGTTGATTTTCATTAAGAACGACCGGTGGTGAATTGGGAAGACTACATGATCTCAGTTCTGAGGATCAACATCCGCGTTATTTTCTAAAGTAAATAAATAATAAAAAACAGCCTATAAACAATCCTATACATGTCCCATTGTCTTGCAAAAGCCTCCTATTAAGTCATAGTTCACCACGGGACCCCACTGCGGATTGGTAGACTTCACATATCTTCGTAATATTTCCTTGTTACCATTTCAAAAACATGCAGCTTTCCTCACGATCTTCCCTCACCGCTGAGCAAGTGATAAGTGATAGGGTACCCTAACAACCCTAACAAGAAACCCAATGAGGACCATGTATAGCAATGATCTGGTATTGGTTGACGTTGGGAAAGATTTTAAATTTTTGTAGATAACTATGCTCATGTAGCTGAGCTGAACCTTTATGTTCAATGAACAGCAAACAGCCCTAGGCATCTATAACGGCACCGAAATCCCATTTAAGCCTTGCGAGTGTTGTAGTAATTTCGTTGCCATAGTATGTAATAGCTAACAGTTACTTGGCACGCGCTGCGTTCTACATTTCACAACGTCAGGCCAAGACGCGGTGTCCAATTTACGGGTAATTATGTAAACACATACACATTACACATGCGATGACTTTTTACGTAATCTTCGCCAAATATGGCCACATGCCACCACGTCCTTGTACTTTAGGATGAAATCACATCATTATTTTAAATGCACTTGTTTTGGAATGATGAGATTTTGTAAAACGGAAAGAGTTCTAATGTCAGTAAAACTGTTATCTTTCAATGTGCTTAGAATAGGTCTCTTATAACACTACACTTTTGTTATACGTAAAACTTCACAAAAGATAAGGTCAAAGTTCTTCTCTTAGAAATAAGTTTTTGAATTAATATTGCTTGTTTGGTAAATCCCTCGTGAGAATATTTTTACGTATGTTTTATTTTATACTAAATCAAAAATTGATTTGGGTTGTAAGGCCAATTTATTGAATTAATATCTAAAATAATATGTACGCTGAATTCCTAAGCGTCTTTATTACATATTCAATCATATAGCTTACATTTATTTATTTACTAAGATAACAAACGGCCTTTTGTATCTAAAATCGTCAGTCACGAATTAAACCATTTCATTTTCCATAGATTTTTGATGTTAAGAAAGCAACTGTAAGAAAAACACATTTCTAAATGTAGCTTTAATAACATTGCGCTTGTAATTATACTGTAATTGTGTTATATATTGAAGCAATAACTAAAGAAAAATTGAAATTGGTTCAATACTTCCAGGTATTATCGACTTACTACATACAGATAAACATACAAAAGAAGTTTTACCTCTATACGATATTAACATAAATATGGAACCATACATATTACTGATCGGAATGGTGTTGGTTATGTAAAGAAAAGTAAATTGGTAAATTATTCCAAAGCAAAGTCTAAAGCGATCGAATGCAACGGGTATCGATCAACTTCTGGACACGCACGGCTCTCTCGACGATATATAAGAACGGAATGTTACGCAACTCGCATGACAGAGATATATAAACTGTTTTGCACAACGTACTTTTCTTTTTATAATGACCGACATTTCGGTGTGCTTTTGTTTCAATATACTTTTTTGACGACCCGATTGGCGTAATGGGTAGTGTACCTGCCTTCTGCGCCAGAGGGTGTGGGTTCGATCCCCACTACTGGAAAATATTGAGCGATGAACATAGTGTTTTTCTAGTGTCTGGGTTTTTATATATCTATAATATGTGTTTTTATATATATTTATTTACAAAAGAAAACCATGTTTAAGTATGTTTATCAGTTATCTTAGTACCCATAGTACAAGAAAGTACCCATAGTAGTTTGGGACTAGAGAAAGTTGTGTAAAAAATGTGTTGTGTAAAATGTGCTTGCAACAAACGGCGGAACATTTGTTATTAATAAATATACGATAGACGATGATGACAAATAGTTACTGATACTACTTACTGTCTCTGAGTATGCTATAAACGTAACTATATTTGTGAGGTACGAATTAAGTTTCAAGATGAAAGATAGCCTTAAACCCTCTTTTATTGTCATGCTTGAAACACCACAGGAGTTACAAATACGCTGCCAGCCTTTCTTATCGGTGGTTTTCCCGGTTAAACAAACACTAAAATTTTCCGCTAAATTTTACACTTTTTATCTCACTAATAATAGCTCAATTTATATCAGATTCAATTTATACGGAAATTTGATTCGTTTTTTAAATATATACATCCGATCATTCTTTAACACTGTCAAAGAAAGAGCCAGCTTATTTGCCACCTTGCCTACAAAAAAACAACACAAAATTTCAAATTTTCCAATCCGTGGTTTCAGAGCTGCCTTTCTACTATATAGAAACGTCATCTATTATTTTATACTACAATGACTGTTATTAGCGTCGCTCTATTCGTTTTGAGATTTATACTAAAAAAGCGGCCAAGTGCGAGTTGGACTCGTGCACGAAGAGATCCGTACCATTATCTATGAAAAAGACAAAAATATCATGTTCGTTGTATGGGAGCCCCACTTAAACATTTTTTTATTCTGTTTTTTAGTATTTTTAGTTATAGCGCCAACAGAAATACGTCTTTGAAAATTTCAACTGTCTATGTCATATCACGGTTCACGAGATACAGACAGACAGAAAAGTGTTAATAATAGGGTCCCGATTTACCCTTTGGATGTGGAACCCTAAAAATAAAAAAACTGTTTTTTTTTTTTTAAACGACTCATCCAACGACGATCCTTTCCGTGTAGACTTAAAGTATACCAGACTCTTAACAACAATTTGTAGCGGACAATTTGAATTCCGCGCCGGGGCGGAATCAATCCCACAGCGTGTGAAGAGAGTTCTCAAGGTCAAATTGAATTCCTCCCGCAACTATTAACAATTAGTGCTTGTAATGTTTCACGAGTGCCCTATGCATGCCCTATGATAGCTATTAAAATTAGCCTGAATCATTTTCTAAAAAGAACACCACTTCATACGCTTGGCTTCGACATACAAACAAACATATAGACGAAACCTATAGTCCTGATTGAAAAGGTATAGCCAACATGCAACTTGATATTGCGAAAAGTTTTCATTTCGAAATCGTAGCGAGACACTTGAATTTTATTAATTTGTCTAGATGAAAATTATTTAGAGAACTATAATCCCCCGAAAAAAATAAATAATAACCATGACTTGAGACCTATAGTTTTGCTTACTGTTTACATTAGCATTTTCTAGTTCCAAAAAATTCCAAACTATAGTGTGCCCACATAACTGACAACACAAATCGCGAGGCTTGCATAATGTAAGGCAATTGTAAACATAATGTTACTGGGAAATTGCGTTACTAGGCTAACAGGGCTTTATGCAGTGGTTCGTAATTAAATTGCAATTATTTCGCATTGCAAATGACAGCTATATTGATCACTTGCGTCTAGAGCAATTTGACATAAATTACTTTCCTGGTTGTTATCTGTGTGCGGAGCCATTCTAATTACGCCACTAACTTACAGATCTTCGTCTAAGCCCAGATTATGTGTTTCTTTTATGTGGGAAGGTAGCAAACGAGCTGGCGGTTCACCTGATGTTAAGTGATAACGCCCATTGATATTTGCAACACCCGTGAGGCTACGTCCCTTACAAATATGACACTTCCACTTCACGCTGGTCTTCTGAGAGGTCGTGGTACTTACCCGTACGAGCCTGGTTATTCGGTCAAGTAACAGCTGCTGCGTGACCCTACTATAGTGTAGAAAGAGCTGCGAGAGAATTCTCCTTGGGATATCTATATGACTGTAATATGATATGTACTACATAATTGAAATTATGACAGTGGTGAGTAATCTACGTCATCTAACACGGACGGATGAGAAAGATACCCCAACACTAGATTGATGGCATAAGAAGTTTGTAACTGCACGCTGTTCTACTTAAGCTGTACGCTTTTGCCGATCTTGTAGTGAGGACCAGGTCTACCAGTGCACCTGCTGAAATCGAATTGTTCCAAATTCAAATTTGTACCAGTTCGAAAGCAACAAATCAAACCACGATCGATGGTTTGAGTTGACTGATTTTTACAAGCTGTTTAATTTCGAAGAAACGAATGAAACGTCAACGCTCGTCAACGTCAACGTCAAACACTCGCTAAGGAATAATAACCTATTATTTAATTGAGTTAATGAGATAATGTATATTATTCTCTAATTTACACACTATTATATATAACTATATATACACACCCATAACATGGTGATGATAGCCTGGGTTAATAACGACCTTGAATTTCAAACTCCTCAATGCCGTGAACTAATTTATGATAACTCCTAATATATAACTCGATTTAGTCTAGTCTTATAACAAGTCTCAACTAGTGAAATCCTATTCCATTAGGCACAACATAATTTATGTATATAAAAGAGGTATTATATTGTAATAAAATTAAAGGAGAGTCGTGTGTACTATTTTATATTTATAGACTCGCGTCTAACCGGTTGACAAGGTAGTTTTACTAATTCAATTATTGTTACTATAACGTCAGGGTGGTAATTTAGTATAGTCGGAACGCGTGTGTCGGTGTAGCACCGAAGTTACGCAGAACTGGCTATGACACCGTTAAATAATAACAAATTGTTGACAATATTACTCATTGCTACTGCAAAATATGGTGAGTTAAATTAAATTATCCGATAGAAATCCTCATGTCTATTTACATTTTTGTCTTAATTTTATATTCAAATCTGCTTACAATCCAACAAATAAATGATGTTGGATTCTAATAATGTTATTCCTAATCTGATGTTTGTTCAATTTGAAAACGGAGAAATGATTTAAAGTATGATAGTTATAATTATTACGGTGTTATCCTTAAATGAACTTAACAATCCAAATTTACTAAATTATCAACTTTGTCCAATGTGGGCCATGCGAAGTCGTATATCACGAGAAACCCTAGTGCATGCTTTCGAGTAGGATTATCGTTCAACTTGGTGGTATTTTATCGAACAGTACAATGCTGGTGGTATGTTTTTGTACTTGCTAACTCTCCAACTTTATGTTATATTACAATGGATCAATTGACGACACTATGTCCCTAACGTAGCAAATTGTATCATTCGAGTTTTGACCAAAATCTAAGTTTTAATGTCAAATTTCCTTAAGATTTATACTTCCTTTCCTATCCTTCATTATAGTATTGGATAGATAATTTTGGAATTTAGAAAACACTTGAAGAATTACTAAACTTAAGGAATTTATTTTATTAAGATAGTTAACTTAATATGAACTGTTGTGATCGAAAATAATAAGCTATTTTGAGACCAATTTAACAAAGCATATAGTTCGAAATAAGTGAAGTATGTATCTTCAGCTTATCTATTAAACAACGTTTTAGTGAATTTTGGCTTAATATTAAACGAAAAAACAAATACATTATTTGGTGCCGTTATTGCATTGTGTATTTGTCTTTTTGTCAGGGGCGGCGATATTTTGCTATGATTGCAACAGCGCGTTCGACCCACGCTGCGGGGAAGAGTTTGACCCTTTCAGCTTAGGGGTTGTTAATTGCTCCCTGAAGGACCCACTAGAACACATTCCAGCTGTGGAATCTACATTCTGCCGTTCCATAAGGATGGAGAGTGAGTATTCAAGTTAAACAAGGCAAATCCTTCAGATATATCATTAATAGAAAACAATCTTACGATCCATGAGATCTAGATAAGTCATTTTCATTTTACATCCTTTTTATTAAAACTATATTTCTAATTAACTATATACCCGAGCCGTGATATCTCATTGTCCTGGTGCTCGCTTTTAATTTCATATACTCGAGCAATTTGAGCTTGATCCCAGTGCCGGTACTAATGATATTGTTCATTTTATTATCACGTGCTCAGTGGGGCTGCGTGGACTATGCCCTGGAACCGTCTGTACAGAGGAGGCTTTGCTCAGCAGTGGGACATTTATAGGCTGTCAATTTATACTCCTAATTTGGGATTAGACTGTCTTAAGTTGATGTTAAATTTGTTGTTTGTGGGAGAGACTGAAATGATGATGATGATGAATTTGATGAGGCATTTTAAACTTCAATCTGTTACCACACGTAATTTCAATTATCTCTCATTATTTAATTCCAGTCATCCACCTCGTATAATTTTGATTATTAGCTCATTAGAGAAAAGCAAGAACTGAATTTCAATTTCAGTCAAATTTCGTTTCAGTCTACGGGAAGATCCGCGTTGTCCGCCAATGCGGATACCTGACCGAGGAGAACGAGAAGATCGGAGATCCGCCCTGCAAGCGCCAAACTGGCACTGGTGACCTGTTCGTCACCTACTGTAACTGCGACACGGACCTCTGTAACGGGGCCTCTACCCGTGACACCATTATCTATGCTATTGTTTTATCAGCGTTAAGTTTGTTGATAATTTGTTGAATACACTGCACTGACTGGTACCTCAATTGTTCTTATTAATTTCCTTCTACCGTATAGTACGCATATTTTGAGATATCAAAACGAAATATGATATAAAAAAGTAATGCTATTTATCTCAAGATCGCATTAAAGTTGAACTAATCTATTTTTAGTTAACGAGCAAAGTATTCATTATTCTAATTAATTATTTTTGTATTTACGTGCGTGTTTGCGAAAGAATTAGTTTACATTTTCATAGATAGATGTTTATAGTACGACAAGTGATTAAATTTTACGTTTAGTAGTTTCTATGTTTCAAAATTTTATTCATCAACAGCTTAGCTATCGTCTTCCATCTAAGAATCAAAAGTACTAACTCTTTCTATCACATTTTTGGTTACATTCAGACTTTTACCATTATTTTTTCTTTTAGTCCATGCCGTCACGAGTACGCCGTTGCCGCATATAATTAGATTATTTATAAGTATGCAAAGTATGTCAATCAATGGAAATGCTATCCAGCACTGGCACTGACCTGGATTAGCCCCGTCACGGAAGACCTTGGGCTGGTTTCTGTAGGCGAGGAAATACTCAACGTGTGCCATCTCGTGATGGGCGGTTATCAGGTCCTTCATGTCAGGATGCGTGCACATTTTAATACTGGAATAGATTAATGGTAGGAATTATTTATACAATTTTCGAATAAGATGTTTGCGTTATAAATCTGGGAAACTTTCACGCAGTCCAATGTCATAGACGAAGTAAACTCTTTTATTCAGTTAAGGCTTATTCCTAGTTATTATACTCGTAAACTACCACCGACTCACTGATATAGATCTATCAAGAGTAGAACTGCAAATAAACTCAGCTTTCTTGTTTTTTAAATTAGTTTTAATTTAGATAATAATTTAGCTATAACACTCTAACTAAAAGTCCCGAAAATTGAAGACTACGTTGGCTGACTTTATGGTTTGGTTTGCTGGCTAGTGGAGAGAATGACTCGTGATCAAATGTTGCTTATTAGAATCATTATCATTGCTTAGTAATTTTTACTTATCGTTTTTTGTTTAAAGAGAGTGCATGGAGCTTGACTGATGGTAAGTAGCGATACACCCGTAGACTGTAATCGCACTATTCCAGTAAAAGCCTATTCACTTCTCGCCTGCCTAGACGGAAAGATAGGCACGTTCTCGTTTAATACGAAAACAGACTCACTGCGCTTTTTTAATTACTATCAAGACTTTGATTTTTTTATTTTTTTTAATACATGTGTTTCACATGGACAAACCACAGATCCGAGAAAAATATCTCTGGGTCACAATAAATAGTTAACCCGTCTAGGAACTATCCGTCTATTTAGGACTACAGGAGTTAGAGCCTGTTTTTATAAACTAGCATACCGATAGTCGTGGCGATTGCAAAAGTCCCAAGCCGACGGCTGGCAGTGGACGTGCCTATCTACCGGCTGCTCCAACACACTCAGACTCCAGAAGTCTGGCGGCATAGCGGACATGTTCATGGAGACGAAGAACTCTTCGGCCAGCTGGAAGATCGTCAGCGGTGTGTAGCCCTGGAAGTGATAGGAAATTCCATGTTATTCTAGGAAGGATTCTAGGAAAGTTGGTGATTTCCGATTTAAGGTGATCATCCTTTGTCACCAATCGATCTTTTTGGATAAATTGGAAATTTAATTACTTTTATCGTGTTTATCGTCTTTTAGATTAAAAATTACAATTCATTAGGAAATATCGTTGATTTTGCTCATTTTGTGTCTTTTTAAAATATTTTTATGTAGGTCATATTTCGATAGTTTAAGGAATAGGTACTAAGCGGTAACCTTTAGCGTTTTTTGGTAATCTAGATTAGAATAAAATAATAAAAATTTGAATAGTGAAAAAAAAAATACTGAACAAAACATTTATTTATTGATTTACCTGCTTAATCATCTCTGGTGTGACGTCAACGAGGTTTTTGCCAGGGTAAGGCAGGGTGTAAGGCACGATACCAGACCAGCTCTGTCCCCACATGTCGCCAAGTACGTGGGCGGGGATAGGAGCGGACCTTGAGATCCGCTCAGGGCCGAAAGCTTCGCGAAGACGGCGACGGACGTACGCATGCAGCAGTTCATAGAGGGGCTTAATCTGAAAGATGAAAAAGACAGTACCCATAAGATGTGATGTCGTAACAGGAGTTTGTTTGAGGAACAAAGATGTTTAATAATATACATGACGCATGTACTGCGCGGCGTTTAAAAATGTATCCACTTTAGATTATAATAAGTGAATGTTAAAGAGATGGCAGTCTATAGAAATGAAATATATTATTGCACCTATTGGTGCAATTGGAGTGCCTCAGTTTCGGTGCGTACATCATATAATAAAATAAAATAAAATAAAAAGCCTTTATATTTCTTGCAAAAAAAAATATACATTAGAACAAAAAAAAAAAACGTACATCATATCTACCTGAAAATCAAAATCAAATATTTTTATTCAACATAGGAGTATTACACTCGCTTATTGATAGTCAAAATACTACCACCGGTTCGGAAAAGAAAGCCACTGTATTAAGAAGAACCGGCGAAAGAAACTCAGCGGGCTTTTTTTTTATTATATATACATATATAATATACATATATAATATCATATATAATATCATTGGAAGTATACATATACATATATAATATCATTGGAAGAAAGAGGTGTATACAAATCGTTGTAGTGTAATACCAGTAATCTATATGCCCTCTTGGTGACAGGCTTGATTATGTAAGGGAGTCATCACCCAAAATCAATTTTCTATTATTTGGATCGTTATTTTGAGAGATCACTGCTACTTTTGGAGATGCCCTTTACTGATTTTGTACCATGATTTTTTATGTTTAGTTTTTAGCTTTTATTGAAAAGTGTTGCTATACGTAATAATTTTCAATAAAAACTTAACTGAACGTTCAGTATTTCTTTGAAGGATAGAATTTGTGTTTAAGATATCCACCGAAGAAATAATAAATCAAAATCTTCAATCCAAAAATAATCATAATCTTCCGTGGCATATACGATTTAATTGTATACGTCGCCTAAAGGGACAATTTGACAAAAGGCACAAATCTTAAACAATACTGATAAGTACTGATTATGTAGGGAGTGAAATTGGAAAACGCCAATCGTAAGGAATTCAATGTATGAGCATGATACAAATATGTTAACTGTTTTATTTCAAAATAATTTACCTGTTCCCAAACTTCTTCGATTTCTTGTCTCATATTAAATGATTCGTAGGGAAACATCCAATAAGCAGATGCATCTGTGAAATCTGAAAAGAAAACAACATAATATAGCTTTGACGCCTGCGTATTCTATGCCCAATTCCACTGTGTTACATTTTGTAATTATTGCTGTTGAATATTTGACAGGTGTTTTGAATATTCTGATAATGACTAGGCAACCTGCTGGACGCTGTCAGTTCAATCTTAACCACTGAGAAATCTTTGTGATGTTGAACATAGTCTATTTTTAGTTTCTGAGTGATGTAAATATGTATGAAGATTATTTATTTACAATAGAAATCTTTTTAATTGTGTTTATCTATTACCTAGTACTTACTATTGACAGTAGGCTTAACCTCTACCCTCCATAAATAGTACCTATAATACTTTGATCAGCGTAGTTAGGGGCTGGTTAACATTATGCAAAAATCAGTACAGATTTTTTGTTAAATATAGTTAGAAGTGAAAGTGAAAGAGTACTTTTGATTTAACTTGTAAATAAATTAGATACCACTTCTCAGGCAGCATACGCATCTTGAATATCAGAATATCGTTGACTAATCATCGGCGTTCTTAAACCCAAGCCCATTATATTTACTGTTTAGGCGCGCTGCTTGGTTGGTGAGGTCGACCAGCTGCTCGTAAAGGTCTCTTATCCTGCGGCCGGTGTTCCGCCTCCACTCCGCCCATACGTGCTGCAACTCATCCCAATCCCGGGAGTGCGACATGATGTTCTGCAGATCTGGCTGCAACCGGAGACCGCATTTGAAGGGCTCGTTGTATGCGCAGATCTCCGCCGTGTTGTACACCGCCAGCATGTCATTTATGATGCGGTTATACTGCAAGGAAAGATATGATGTTCATATAATAAATATATTCAAATCATCCCAGAGATAGACGATAGCTTATGTTTTGACGTTTTCTTTCCTTTCGAATCCATTCTTGTTCTTCGAATGTCTCTCAGTACTGAAGATTGATCGAATGGAATCGATGATTGTTATCAACGTCGTACGTCGATTAAATTATTTTGACAGATTTTAATGTAGCTTTATCAACCCCTTTATTTCTGTTTCTCATTTATTTACGTAAAAAGTTGGGAAGCGACCTGTCAGTTCCCTTGATATTGATTACCGCCGCCCATGGACACCACCCACACCAGACGGTTGCAGATGCGTTGCCAAACTTTAGTGCCGTCGTTTACTTACACGATCAAGTTGATCTGGTGGAAGGGCCGCCGCTCCGATGATGGAGAGCAGACGCAGCTGTCTGAAGGTGCCGAAGTCCCTGATGGCGCCACGGGGCACCTGCTTCGCCGCCTCCCATAACCCACGCTGGAACAGGGTATACCGCTGCTGGGCGTCCAGCTGTGGGAGACATAAGACATGCCATCAGCCGTATAGCTAAAAGACAGACATAGAGATGAGTGCCTTGTATTTGTACATTCTTATCAACATGTTTACGTTCATAAAAATGAATATTTGACATCCACTGCTTACTCTTAAATGTTGTAAATTGATAATAAGTTGTCATTGGACCAGTTCTTCGACGTTTTGGAAATTCTGAAATAATTTTTTTTTTATGTGAAAAGTTGACAAGCGAGCAGGCAGTTCACCTGATGTTAAGTGAATACCGCTACCCATGGACATCTGTTACACCCGAGGGTTGCAGATACTTTGACAACCTTTTGAAAATTGGGCTCCGGCTACCTCACTCACCAGACGAAACGCGAAAGTATTATACTTCCACTTGACGCCGGTCTTCTGTGAGGTCGTGGTACTTACCCGGACGAGCCTGCCTATTCGGGCTGCTGCGTGGCCCTACCACCGTTAAACATTCGTAATTCTTTTTTGTTTTAAAACCGGCTGTGATTTTAAAATAACAAAATGTTTGTGTATATTTCGGAATTTCTTCAAATTGCTTTTAACAGAAATTTGTGTAATTTTCAACGAAACTATAAATTATATAAATAAGTAAAAATTTAAATTATAATAACAATTTATTTCTATTGGAATATTCTCCATTCAACTACACCTAAGTAAGACCACCAATAAAGAATATTATATTATTAAGAATTGAAGATATTATCAATGTTATGTAAAAGTGAATATTATATAAAAGATACGAAAAGAGATAAAAAATATAACTAACAAAGATCAAAGTCAACAAACTGCATAATGTATTACCTCAAAGCAACTTAACAAAAAGTCTATGAAAGACCGAGTAAAGTTTACAATAGTAAACAAAAAATGTACTACTTAATGATAAAGCGCTTTTGTCACCGAACGTTGGTCCAGTTTCCGTCGAAATGATGCCACGGTCAAGTGTCTCGGAATGACGAATATAAGTGCGTGCTAAGTGCTTTCGTGTGCTATTAGGGAAAGCCTTTTAAGGCTTGTCAGCGATTTGCATAACAGCAAACTCGACAGGATGCGTATTGTGTGGTTCATTGGAGATTTTCGTCAGACTGAGGAGCGACGGTGCATAATATAATACTTTACGACAGTCGCGGTACGGAATAACTCCCTTATTTTAACTCTAACTCAATCCGAAATATTCTATTCCCGATCATTTCAGTGTGGCGCTCGTAACGACGGGCTGTACATAGGAATGGATGCGCCAAGCATTGCTTCAGATGCTAAAAAAGTAGATAAAAGAAGTAAGATTTTCGTCGGTGAGGCAATAAGTTTTTTAGCTTAGTGGCTAAAGCGTCAGGCCGCGAATGCCGAAGACGTGGGTTTGATTCCCACAGCGGCGACAATCTTTTCGTACTTTTTCTACAAATTTTAACTATAGATAATTTGCTTGTTAAATTTAGAAGAAGACTTATTTTCTATTTTGCACAACGACCTGAAAGTAATATATACACTTGTATCTTACTTTCAGATCCTCCACCAAGTAACAAAGAAATTAAAATTTAAAAATTACCTCTAATAAGATGATTATATTTTAAAAACACATTTATTTAAGGGATAAATAATTTTTTGAAATTTATAAACGTATATTAAACTACAGATGAGTGCTACTCAATGAATTAGCTTCGTCGTCGCCACGGTTCTAGACAATGAAGTTACGCCGATTTTATGTACTTTGTTGCACAATGGGTTAACTAAGATTACTCAGACCGTTACGTGGTTGTGTGACATCACATGATTCATGTTTAAGTGAGTTTAAATCTAGTTATACAGTAAAACGAGTCATTTAAAGCTCTCTTATAAGATCTCACAAAACTATTTAAATCAAATGGATAAGCTTTTTTCTAATGCTGGCCATTTCGTGGTGAAATTTTACACGCAAGATGTAGAAAATCAAATGTTTGTTTTTGCAAGCTTACTGCTATGAAAAATGTTCCTTTTTACGGAAAATTAAATAGATCATCTAACGATTCCTCTCATTATGCTCAGTAAGCCATAGACATAAAATTGAAATATTATTGTACTAATAAAAACTTATAATATTACGTTATACTAAGTTTTTTGTTAAAGAACCGTTACAAAACGGCGTTTATTTTGTGATAATCAAGGTCGTTCAAATGAAGGTAGACATTTTTATATTCTAGAAGTAATACATTTAGTCCAGACGTAAATGACAATGGGAAATATAAGCCTTTCGTCCTTCAGCACCTGCATAGATATTTTCCGGGTTTGGCATCCTAGTGTCACAGTCTGTTAATATTTTCAATAAAATATTACAAAAATACACGGCCTTTTCACCTTTTCACAGTATAGTAAAGTTTTCACGTACTAGCCAGTTTCTTGTATAAAAATGATATAGCATTCGAAGTCGAAGCTATTCAAGGTCTGATATTTTGACAATATAGAAAGCCCTCAAATCGAATTGAATTTCTATGACACATTGCAATTCTGAACAAGAATTTTACCAGAAATGTTGATGAAACTATGTGAAACGCTCACAAAAATGCATAAGACTCAAGAAGGAGAATAATGGTATATAGAAATACTTCTTGTAAAGAATGAGCCTCGAACTTATTTGTCACACTTAATTTCAAAAATATTTCATCAATACGTTAAATTAATGTGTAGTTTACTGAAAGTAAAGTAAAGTAACAGCCTATACATGTCCCACTGCTGGGCAAAGGCCTCCTCTATACAGAGGGTATCAAGGCATAGTCCACCACGCGGCCCCACTGCGGATTGGCGATTTTTTGTTATTATTTCGAAAATATGCAGGTTTCCTCAAGATGTTTTCCTTCACCGCGGAGCACGTGATGAGTCAGCACTTAAAGTTAAAAATTTCATTGGTGCCGGCACCGGGGATCGAACTCAGGTTGCTCGAGTATATTGAAATAAAGGCGAGCGCCCAGACACTGAGCTAGCACGGCTGTCTAGTTTACTGAAGTTGAATATAATACAAGCGTTTTCTGCAATTTAGAATGAAAGGCATTTTATTAATATATATAATTTCTTATTCGAAGTCCAAGTGGATAACATTTTTCAAAAAAAATTAAACAGAGTTAAAAATTAAAGCTTTAAACACCTCAGTTTGGCTTACTATTGAAAAAAAATTAATTACCACAAAAATTTTAATAATAATGACTAATAATGAAACAAATGCGAATAAGCAAAGGAAATTCACACGTTTTTGTAATATTTTAAATCAGTTTCATGATTTAATTTGCTTGAGAGGTAAATCTGCCCGCGTCTTTTTTTTGTATGAGTAGATTTTTCTTTAAACTGTTCAGAACTTATTATCTCTATCGGTAGCTCTGGTAATGAAAATTAAGGGTTTGATAAAGGTGGTAACCAAAAAATAATAATATGATCATTGATAATAATATTATTTAGTCTAAAACTAACTCTATTTATAATTTTATAGTGCTAATCTCTGTAATTAAGATGTGAAAAACTGTAATGTTCCATCTTAAGTAACAAGATAGGCAATATATAATTTTCAAATAGCAATGGTGACATCTCTCGTTCGACTTATTTTTGATATTTGAAATAGTTTGTCTGTTGTAAAGGAAGTAACAATAGATGCGCCAAGCAATTTGCTTAAGATGCAGAAAATAACAAAATGTAGCTAGATAAAATACGTTGAGATTTTCGTGAGTCTAACTATCAGCCGCTTAGCTTAGTGGTTAAAGAGTATACTGTTAAAGAGTAGACTGGGAGTGTATCTGGAAGACATGGGTTCGATTTCCGCAGTGGGGAAAATTTTTTCATCCACGTCACGTTTTTTCTTTAAATTTTATACAACATTAAGGCGATTGTTAATTGACAGCTGCAGTATATAGCTAAAAATATAATCGTATTACAATAAAACTGGGTTTCTAGTTAACCTGTGGAATTGTTTTGCCTCATAGGTTATATAATTATGGAGCTCAGGCGGAAGACTGTATGCAATGTTCGCACGCTATAAAATTATGCCGCACTTGAAACGTCGTTTGCTCGTTAATTATTGCTATTTGTCCGCTTTACGTACCGCCGTGACACGAACTTGAGTACTTTATATATTAAATTGATTAAATTGCCTGCGCTTACGAGGTAAACTCATGTCTTGTTGTTTTCTGAATCGGAATAACAGAAACCTTTTGCCTATCTATGCGTTCTATATATCAGTTGGAATTCATATTTCGAATCTAACTCTTTTTTCGTATAACATAATTCACATACGATTTATTTCACTGTCGATGTTTTCAAATCCCGGTGCTTGAATTTAGGTTGCTCGAGTAGTTTGAATCAAAAGCGAGTATCCAGACGCCAAGATATCATGGCTTGGTGTTCTTAGCCGGTACAAAGCTCAATGCTTGACAGCAGGGATACATGAACAGAGCCCACCACGCCGGCATCCTCGCAAATGATTTGACAAAGTGGCAAACGAGCTCACGGACATTTGCAATACCCGTAGCGTTGCAGATGCGTCGTCACCTTTTAATAAAGCGGGCCCCGGCTACCTCAATCACCAGACGAAACGCAGAAGTGTAACACATCACGCGACAATCATTTCACAATGTAAAGCAAAGGATACGTGAACACCACCCCCGTACCACGCCTTCATCCTCGAAAATGTTTACAGTACGCGACAATCGTATCTCAATGCCATCCGCACAATCAGTTATAATGAGGCGCCTATTAATTCTCACACGCTACGTACGCGGACGGCGTCATTGTCGGACACTGAGGACGTTCCCACACGGCGATATTTCGCAAACGTATCGCGACGAGCGCAGACAGTATATGTCCTACCCCAATGGGCGCTCGAAACTGTCCTTAATCTCATAAAACTCTTTTTTATGTGAGAAGTTTTCTTCTACCTGGCATTATCCCAGCTATAGCCAGGGTCTACCTTCCAACTCCATCTCCTCCACTTTGCCCGATCTTAAACATCCTCAGGGGTCAGTCTATTG